ACCAGCGACCTAGTGAAAAGTTCCCTTGGGAGTCGCAGGGAAGCCAGGAGTGTGTTTGTCATGGGAGAAAGCAGGGCAGATCTAAAAAAGAAGTGCTCAGTAATGGGGTGCTGTTTCACCCAAGAGGGTAGGCTGGAATCCCCTACCAATAGCTTCTCTCCTAGGCTGTGAGCAAGGGAATCAGGCCACAGTAGAGAACTGGGACGTCAGGAGTGAGTGATGGCCCTGAGAAAAACAGGGTCTGTGCACCAAGAGAAACAGTCCTCGGGGCTGAGTAAAAGGGGGAGAAAAGCACAGGTTATTAACCGAACCACGTCAGCCCCAGGCATCTGAAGTGAAGGAGGAAGAGACAGGGATGCAAAGGACTAGATCTATAAGCCAGCACACACTTGGAGGTAGTGTGTGGAGTAGATGTGACAGTGACAACAGAGGTCTGGCCAGTCAATGAGTAAACCAATTTAAGAGTAAATGAGAGAAATCTGGGGAAGGTTTCTGTGGCTGACAAGAATAGAGCTGAAGTCTTTGCAGAACTTAGCAGGCTACCAACTCAGATGGCAGAGTGCTTGCACGAGCTGGAAGAAATGTGCTCCTCGAGGGATAAGGTTTCAACCAGAGCCATAAAGAGAGGAGGAGCTAGTCTGCTTTGGAGTAAAAGAAGAGAATGGTGAGCAGCACCAGTGCTTGCTTCAGGAGGAGAAGCTGATGAAATTGGGCACTGAAATCCTCCTGCAGAGTCAGAGCCTGGTGGAAAAGGATGAGATGTTAGCGACTCTGAAAGCTGAGATGTCTGCTTTAAAAAGAAGAGACTGAACTCCGGGTGAGGGTATTGACAATAGGGCTTATCTTGGGACCCAGCAAGGCTCTCTGGGCAAGATATGTCAGAGGGGGAGAGGTCCTTCCAAAAGGAAACTAACTAGCTGCCTCCCAGGCTAGGAACCAGTGGACAGCTTCAAAAGCATCTGCATCCTTATGAAGGCCAACAAGAGCTCAGCTGAGTAGGTGAATTGGAGGGAGCTGGTAAGCTGGTCATTGGGTCAAGGCAAGGGGACTCGGAAAAGTGCAGGAAAACACTCTGGGAGCTGCAGTCCATACTGGGCAGAGGCACTACTTTATTTTAATGTATTGCCCAAGTTTCTGTTTAACCAATAAAACTGTATTCTGTGGCAATAGCCTGAAAGAGACTGGCTTGGCATGAGTCCACTCCTTATGAATTGTGCACTGTTGTCCTGCACATAAAAATCATCTCTGCACACAAGAATACATACACGTGTGATTCACATCCACTGCACCTCCTAACTGGTGTCTTGTCAGTGCTCCACCCCCTCTAGCTATGCAAGAAATGTTCTGATGCCTGGATACAGGTTTGCCTTAGAACCAGCTTTAAACTTCAGCATGAGCCCATTATCTTCTTTCCTCCTCTGCTGTCTTCCCACAGTGAACCCCAGTACTGCCTACCAGAGGCAGAGGCGCCAGGTTAGAGAAAGAAGTTTAATGCTCTAAGGTGATGCTAACTCAGGGTATGTCTACACTACCCCCCTAGTTCGAACTAGGGGGGTAATGTATGCATACTGAACTGGCTAATGAAGCCCGGGATTAGAACGAGGTGTACAGATAGTTCGGATTAGGCTTCCTAATCCGAACTATCTAGTCCGTGCTGCGTGTAGCCGCGCGGCACGGGGTTTGCACTAGCCGGCTTTATGCTAATGAAGCCCCGGAAATTCAAATCCCGGGCTTCATTAGCAAGTTTGGTATGCATACATTACCCCCCTAGTTCGAACTAGGGGGGTAATGTATGCATACTGAACTGGCTAATGAAGCCCGGGATTAGAACGAGGTGTACAGATAGTTCGGATTAGGCTTCCTAATCCGAACTATCTAGTCCGTGCTGCGTGTAGCCGCGCGGCACGGGGTTTGCACTAGCCGGCTTTATGCTAATGAAGCCCCGGAAATTCAAATCCCGGGCTTCATTAGCAAGTTTGGTATGCATACATTACCCCCCTAGTTCGAACTAGGGGGGTAGTGTAGACATACCCTGAGTTAGCATCACCTTAGAGCATTAAACTTCTTTCTCTAACCTGGCGCCTCTGCCTCTGGTAGGCAGTACTGGGGTTCACTGTGGGAAGACAGCAGAGGAGGAAAGAAGATAATGGGCTCATGCTGAAGTTTAAAGCTGGTTCTAAGGCAAACCTGTATCCAGGCATCAGAACATTTCTTGCATAGCTAGAGGGGGTGGAGCACTGACAAGACACCAGTTAGGAGGTGCAGTGGATGTGAATCACACGTGTATGTATTCTTGTGTGCAGAGATGATTTTTATGTGCAGGACAACAGTGCACAATTCATAAGGAGTGGACTCATGCCAAGCCAGTCTCTTTCAGGCTATTGCCACAGAATACAGTTTTATTGGTTAAACAGAAACTTGGGCAATACATTAAAATAAAGTAGTGCCTCTGCCCAGTATGGACTGCAGCTCCCAGAGTGTTTTCCTGCACTTTTCCGAGTCCCCTTGCCTTGACCCAATGACCAGCTTACCAGCTCGCCGGGATGGAGCAAGTCATGTGTGAGGGCACAGGGGCATGAGGGAAATGGGGGCAGAGGGTGGTGAGGGGGTGGGCATCAGGAAAAAAGGGCAAAGGAGGTAGGGGCAGTGAGGGAAGGAGGAGGCACCAGGAGGGTGCAGGAGTAAGAGAAGGTGCAAGTGCCAGGGGATTCTGGTGGTGAAGCAGAAGGGCAGACACCTGCCGGGGAGGGACCACCACCAGAGGAGAGATGCAGGGCAGGTTTGTAGAGGGAGGTGTTAGAAGATGGGATGAGGCGTGGTAGCTCACATGATCAGAGTGGGGCTACTGGAGGAGTGGGCACAGGGAGAAGAGAAGGGCTGGTGGAGGGGGGCAGGTTGCAGGAGGGCTGAGGGCTGTGAGAAGGGCAGGAGTCAGGACAGGAGTCAGGACGGGTGAGGAGTTGGGAGGCAGCAGGCACCAGGGGAGGAGACATGGCAGCAGAGAGAAAAGGTAAAGGTTTAAAAATATTTATTAATAACTTGGGTGCCACAGTGGCACATCCAAACAAGCCACATGAACTCAGTACTGGTGCACAACACAAAATTCATTTTGCTCATGTGAGGAAACT